GATGGAGGTGGGGGTTCAAAGGCCCAGCCAGTGGGATCAAGGATCACTTGTCCGATCGGCAAGCAGTGGCCAAAACTTCACAACTCTCAATTGCTATCCTGTCTGATAATGACATGCGTCAGTCTTACTTTTATCCAATTACCACCAGTGCTTGCCTTTCCTAGGAGGACCACTGTTTGACCTATTAAAAACAGAAACGCTTGAACATCTTTGGTTCCACCCTTAGCCCCACCCACCAATGCCACCCCTCACTGCCATCATTGTAACAACGATTCGAGGAACTCTTTTCTCGGCTGACCGTACGATCAGGGCGGCAGGCATTGGTCAATCTCATTTCACACCTCTGGCTACCCAGGAAAGTTTCCGTTGTGGCTCGCTACTCGAGCACTCTCACGGGAAGTCGTGAGATTTCACACCCACACTACACTGACCATCTGCATCACTCAGGGCTCGCATGAAGGGGTAACATCTACCCCCCAAATTGCACCCCTACTCTTCTTCCTCGCCCAGCGGTATTGCCAGCCATAGCGTTAAGTTTAGAGTCGGCGGAACCAAACTTTCGAGCTTTGTTTCAAATCAGGGTTGAGCGGGCAAAGCATTTTCCGTCTCAGACAGGTGAAACCCTTGGAAGGGAACTGATTTTTCTTTCCGTTTCCGCGTTGGACAGGTTTCCGTTTTATACATGTAATTAAAGAGGAATATATCAAGGGGGGAGCGGGGAGATTCCGTTAAAATAGGTTAGACTGTTTCTGCCTGCAGGGAAAAGAAAACCGACAAGTACTAACTTGTCTGTGAGAAAAGAGAATGAATGACACAATAACGGGAGAAAGCAAGATGGAATGTACTCCTCAGGCCCCTGCAAGAACTCGGAGTAACTTTACTAACAAGATCATTTATCCAACAGTGTACTTGATTTTTACGAGCATGGCCATTTGATCTACATAGAATGTAGAAACATCCTTACCTAACAGGCAGGCACGTACATGTACCGGTATTGAAGGTATAGTCGAACCTGTGTAAGACGGCCACCAATTGTCAAGGAGAAAAGTGGTCGTATAAGACAGGTGGCCGTCTAAAGCCGTACAAAGAGAACGCTTGCTCGCGATAAAAGCGAGCGCGTTGGGACACGCGCGTGAAATGTTACTCAAAAGTTGCTTGTTGCGTACAAAAAACACGTTCGCTTTATGGCGCCTGAGATTTCAAGCGACGCTTGAAAAGCGTAAAGAATCAAAAGTTAATTCTTTCTCGCTTGCAAGCGTGTACTTGGTACCGCCCCCCATTGTTGTCTGGCTGTCTGGTCACGACTTGGGTGGTTCAAAATGTATTTTCTCTCAGTCTCAGTGACAAAAGCACCGAAATGGATGTCGAGTCTTTGGTATCAGCCGTGTTTGAAAAACCTGCAATTTGGGACACGAGAAGGAAAGACCACGCAGATATACTTGAATGTCTCTTGTCTCATTCTCATGGAGGACTGAAAAAGAGAAGGGCTTCTTTTAAGTACAGGGAACAAGTGGTGATATTCACCTTCCACTCGCCTCCTTTTACTTTTATTTATCTTATGAACTCCCATTCTTTTGCGTTTTCCTAGGATAGTTTTAGGCAAAACACTGTCTTGCATTACTAGCAACAACAGTTCGTCTTCACTCGAATCCGTCATGGCGCCAAATGCCCAAGTTCTGACCAGTCACAAGCGCGATTTGCAATCTTTCTCTGTGTACACCTCAACGACAAGCAAGCGCTTTCTTCGCGAGCAAGCGTTCTCTTTGTGCGTACCTTTGGGCAGGACTGATCAAGATGAAGAAAACAAACCATTCCTTTCTGAGGTCCCAACCGAAGATAGCCACATTGTTTTCGCAGGGTTTTTTTCTTCTTTTTAAAAATTTTGTTCTATGGTAAAACAAACACACGGGTCGCCACCACTCGGAGAACGAGCGACGCTTCAGTCACAAGTTCATTCATGTTGACGTCCATTGTTACTTTGTTACAGACTGGGTAAACAGTGACCACTCATCTCACTTACGACTTGTGTATGAGTTGTGGGCGGGGCTATTAAGTTATGGCTATTGGTTATGAGGGATCACACGCCCTTCCTCACCAGCAGCTGAAAATTTGTTTCCGGGTACCTATTGGTCAACAGTGGGAGGGGCCTACGCAACATGACCGGTTGGAGGGACTATCTTACAACAACGACAGGTGATTTGATTATGACGGCTCGCCCACAACGCCAGGGGCCAATGCACAATTTATGACAAAACGTAATGGAGTCACCAAGGTGGCCGTCTAAGGTGTTATTGCTTTGTGTGATAGGGGTTGTTTGTTAAAATATGGTGGCCGCGGCGGACAGGTGCCCGTTTTACACAGTTAAATTATATAGAAAAAACGCAAGGGGGGAAATGAAAAGTGGCTGTACAGGTGGCCGTCAGGGCAGGTTCGACAGTAATTTGTAATTCTATAGCACCCGCTCCCGTGTGAACACAGCTCGAGGCGCTTTACATAAAAATGCAGGTACGAACAATATGAACGCACGCACGCACTCATGCACGCCCACACACAAACACACATTACATGCTTACAAAAGCCCTCATGACTGTATATGTATTTTTTAAAGTTTTACACTTACACAGACATTCAGTTTTGGATAGGAATTTAAAATTTCGTCTGGACGGCCTACTCTTCAAATTTAGAATCCCCAACGGATCTTGAACTTGAATGCATGAAGCTCCACACAAGATTTTTGGTCTTTATCCAAGAAGACCCACTGGTCGATCCTACCTACCCTCGAATCAGGGGAAACGAGAAGAAACTCGGATGCTGGCCATGGAATTTAACTCTGAACTGAAAGGCAAACTGCTTATCAGCAGAGCTACGGAGTCCCGTACAGAAACAATAGAAAGAAAAGAACAAGGACTTCCAGGCACCCTCTAACCAAGCTTACTGCACAGGATGAAGAACCTTTATTTGCAATCCTCAGCCTGTAGACATTCAAAGTCCAGGAAGCCAAACTCCCAGCCTGGGAAGGAAAACACTTGTCACTTACTCCACGGTAGATATACCTATTAAATAGTATAGACAGGAAGTGAGTAGGGGACACTGGCTTTTCTGAGGTTGAGTTTAAGTTTCATGGTGCTTCACAAAAAGTCATAGGAAATGAAGCAGTTACAAGAGAGTAATGTGTACATAGACCAACAACACAATATCTACAACCGTATAATTTCGTACTCCTATTACTCATATTATCCCTTCATTCTCAATGGTCAATGCAAGAGATTCCATTTCCATTATTTGAACAACAGACTGTTCAGAAAGAAAAACAACAGTCAAATGGAAACATCAAATCTTTTATTCCTGGGACAATTGGCATATTGACAACTTCATGTATGAAAAATGAAATACAAGGCAACAGTCCCAGCACTGCCACAAGTACGGAAAATGAATGGAGGAGTATGATGACATGAAGAGAGGGAGGGTGGTGGGGTGGAAATTAAGTACAAAGAAAAATAATTTTCCAAATAAACAGAAGAAAATCTGAAAAGTTAAAAAAGAAAAAGAAAACTGGAGCATAAACAGCAGGGAGTACTCTTGATACTTTCACACTTCATATGTTTGTTCCCATTATCATGCGTATCCTAGTGGAAACAAAATCGACCAAGTTTTGGTCATTTTCCCATTTGAAAAAGCATCAAAACCACCACAGCTGCTTCAAAGGAAAATCTGACAAAAAAGGTGCGAGCACATTACAACTTTTGAAAGTCATGTAGGGCCACAATGTTATCCAAAGAAAAGAATCAGAGAGAAAATTCTCAGTTTATTTACTCTGAGTAACATCTAAGAAAGCAGGATAAACCACAAAGTCTGACAAATTGTGTCATTACTCCCTCCCACATAGAGAAAAAGATGGTACTTTTATGGACAATATAAACTGTGACGCTATAAGAAAAAAGTTACAACATAGATACAATTGAATAGAGAAACCACGTAGGAGAATTTTAAATATAATAATATACTGGCACTTGGTATGAAAACATTGTGGCCCCAGGCAGACGATCAAGTCAAGTGTTTGACTATCATTGTCCAGGAAAAGAAATAAATTAGGGATGACAACAGTACTGATCGAACATCTTGTAGTTCTATTCCCAAAGGGACACTAGAGCACATGATGCTTGAACAAATCCAGGAAAGTCTACGCCATGACTGACGACCCAAACAAACTTCTGTTGACCAAAATAGTTTTAGTTTTCTGCTCTTGGGCAGAACACACACCAGGCCAGCCGTTACAATGCAGAATTTCCCTGATCACTCATTATGAGAAGTTCCGGACGATCGTAAAGTTCTTTGTATCAACATTAAATTACATACAGGCATTAGAATTCTGTAAAATGGCAGAACGCCAGCTCAATAAAATCGATGTCAACACAAATCTTTCAACAGTAAAAGGCAATTAAAATGAAGCATCTCTTAATGGTTGATCAAGGGTTAATGCATAAATATTTTCAGAGTTCAAAATGAATCCCATTCCCTATCCACCCAGGAAAAAAAAAGGCTTACGCGTTTACTAAGAAAAGATTAAAAAGCTATTAGAAAAATTAAATAAAAAAGTAAAAATAAAAGATGTGATATGAGATGAAGACAAGTGAATCTGTGGAATCTATGGGGCTCCTCCAGTGGCTCCATTGTCTGTGGTGTCATATTCTCCGTATGATGCGCCATTGGTCACATTAGCAGCGCTGGAAGCAAATGGGCCTAGTCCGTACAGGTGGCCAGAGTACTTCTCTCTCTCAATGTTGTTCTCAAAGTAGAGCTGAAATAGTTTTAGTAAAAATTTTATGGCACTTGCAACTCATAGACCATAAAAGAGCTGAAGACTAAGTGTTACCAGAGAGTACCCTACACTGAAAAGATAAAGGGAAGATGGATGTTTGATAGGAAAGAATTTAGTAAGAGTTTTACAGTGCTCTCAATTATTAAAGCATGAGCACCCACAACGAACCACAGCGCTTAATATTTTAAAAGGGTTTAAGAAAAAAAGAGGAACACATCATCAAAACATTTATTTAACAAAGCAAAGGAAAAGCAAGCTAGAAATAACAGAAGGAAAGAAAAACCAGTAGCGTAGTCCAATCATCTGCACACTGAAATTTCACAGCGAGTACATAAACAAGTGGACGTTAAATATGGCAACAAAAATCTTGCTCCAAAACCATATTTTATACTGAAAAAATAAGTTTAAGCTGAGAATCTATGTTGCAAGGCTTTGGCTCTTCAAACTGGCGTCTCGCAGGGCCAGACTGACAAGCCCAGCTTCTCTCGTCTGGTATTTTATCTATATACTATCATATATCTATATACATACAATATCTTGGAAGTTTGCCTACCTCTCTCATCTTGAAGAAAGCCATTCCTGTGAGGAGACTGTCACTCCCGGCCTGGTGCTGGGGACCCACGCGCTTTATCTGAGGAACACATCCAGTTACAAATGGGTTTTAAAAACATTTTATAGATATATATATTTTTAATATAGGTTCTTTTATGCCCTCCTTGATGCAGATTAAATCACTTAGGAGGCAGGCTTCCAACCCTGCCTGCAAGGGCCAGCCCGGGTTGCCTGAATACAACTTTCCAGAAGGAAGACCTGAAACACTTGATAAAACCCCCCCCCCCTCCAAACAAGCCCCATAGTACAACAGGTATAGCTATAGCGTCTAGTGAACAATTGACAACGGATGTACACAACTCAAGACTGGTGGTGAAGAACAGTAGATATCTAGTGAACAACTGACTTACAAAGTTCTACTTGACATTTTTCACTGTTTTGAGTTACCAAGACCATGAGACCAAAAACCAAATGTTCTATCTGCTCTATTAAAATCGTAAAATTATTGCCAAAGTGTTCAAAGAATTGCATTTGGAAAAGCTTGACATGTTGTGAAACCTTTTACATCAAATTTGTCAAAACTAGGTACTAAGCAGATAGTTTGATTAAGTAGGTGTTTTAAGGCACTATTAACTCAGTTTTGATCATTTGAGCAGACAGAGCCTTGTAATTCTGAGGTAGCTAAATGATGATGGTGAATCTAGACATATATCTCCACACTTTCTAGTTCTATCATTAAATCATTTTAAGGCAAAGACAGTAATGGAATTGCCTTATTGTACCTGCAGATAATCCGAGACCTCTTGTAATCCTCCCTTTAAGTCCTTGCATGACTTCATCAAGTATTTCACGTCGTAAATGTCAGGGCAGTGGAGTCGAAGTTTGGCAAAGAATTCCTCATCATCCTCCTCAAGGTCTCGGTTTTGTAACATTTTGATGAAGTAGCCAAAGTCATAACCACTGGAGAAAAGATTAACGTGAGACAATGTCGGGCCATAGTTCACACTGGCTCAGAAAAATAGCTGTCACATGGGGCCAGGAAACAACGCAACACAGACAATGGGAGCTGGGAGCGGTCAAGAATCATTCAATTCATACAAATGATGGATGCTGGGCATGACCAGGAAACATTAACACAACTTTCCACATAGACAAAAAGTGAACCTGAGAACAGCAAGTGAAAAGGGAAAAAAAAAAAATGCTAATAAAAAACCCATACGAAAATTTTGAAGAATTATAGAATGAAAAGGCAGCAGTTATTTTACATAAATCATTGTTAATTCTTAGTTGTAGTGTGTTAATAAAAGCTGATATGTTTTGTTTTTACTGCTGTCCTTACGTCTTTATAATTACTGTGTGGTTGTGAAAGTTATTTACGTGGTTGAACTGGTTCTTCTTGTCACTGAAATATTTTATCTTGAGCAAATGAACTATTATTATGCTGAGTGATCATGTGATTGATGTAAAGCACTCAGAGCTTATACTCATATGGGATAGAGCGCCATAAATGCAATCTGTTATTATTATAGTCAGCCCCTGCCATTGTTCACAACAAGCCCTGAACAAGAGAATCTAAAATACACGATATAAACAAAGGATTTTTTCAAAGTTATTGACATCTGTGTCCTGACATGGTGGAATCAGGCACCCGTCAATATTGGGCACATTGAGTTATTGGCACAATCTTAAAACCTGTTCATTTGCCTTGCTTTTGATGTAAAAAACAAACACCAAGCTATCTTACATACAAGTCGATATATTTGTGATTGAAGGAGGAGAGGGTTGCCTGGTGTCAGAAGTTATATTAGCGAGAAAATGGCTACCAAATTTTTATGATTTTCATATCTCGTGTCCCTTGAAACGGCACACTTACATTTACAGTTAATTCTGTAAAACTATGATGTGCGTATTAGGATATGGGGCCAAGATGCCCTGATTTGAGCATTTGTTTAACATCAAATAACAATTGTTAGATCAGGACTTACCTGTGAAAAGAGAGGAACACATTGGGCTGGAGCACTACCCCAGCACCAATCAGTTCTGCAGCAAAGTCAAAGGGGTCCATGCCATCCCGCTCGTGTCGTTCAAACTGTATCCCAGACTTTCTCAAAAGTTCTATAGATTCCTGAGCATACATGTCATCTCTGTAATGGGAACAGAATGTGCGACAATGGGAACAGAATGTGCGACAATGGGAACAGAATATGTTTAGTTTCAGTAAGAGTTTTACGACATTTGCAACACAAATAGGCCATATAAGTGCTGCTGAAGACTACAAAAGGAGATATTTTTTTGTTTTAGTAAGTTTTATGGCACTTGCAACACAATAAGGTCACATAAATGCCAAAGATTAGGGGTGTTACAAGCGAGTAACAAACACAAAAAAGGAAAGGAGACCAAGACAATAGATGTTTGATAGGGAAGAAGAAGTAAACTACACCAGAGCACCCGCCAACCACCCACAAAGGAGAGATTTAATAAGGATGATAGATGTTTGATAGCAAAGTGGTAAACCCAAACCAAAGCACCAACCAACCATCCTCAAGATATTATGTGAGAACAATGGGAATAGAATATGTAGGAACTATGGGACCAGAAAATGTTGGGTACAGAATATGTCGGAACAATGGAAACAATGTTGAAGCAATGGGACAGAATTTGTAAAAAGGTTGAATATCATTACAGTGAGCAACGGTAACGAAATATGTCACAATATGAACAAATATAGTCACAAGAGACAAATGACAGATGCAAGTACTGCTTCTAAAAATAATGGCACAACCAGATCGGGATTGAGATTACAACAGCGTACCACCCATAGACCTTGAAAAAGGTTGTATACTTTTATCTGCGTAGATATGAGTGAGTGACCTCACATGCCAATATTCCAAAATGCAACCACAGCAGACCCCATTTAAAGTTGTCAAGTCAAACATGAACCTGACTTCCACAACAATGTGAAGAAATGCCTATCTTTAAAGTAAAATGATTTACATAAGATAAAAATGTACCAATATAAACTACCGAGTTTGGCTTACACTTAAAAAAATTTAAGTAAGAACAAAGCAAACCAAACTTACCCCAAACAAAACTTAAAGTTGAACTGCCACGTTGAAACAGGTTCTGCTCTTTCACCAGCCTGATTAAAGAAGGTGAAGCCGATCTGAATGATTTTCAACAGATTGACGTTGCACTTCATTTGATGATATGTGTACTCTTGAGTGGAGCGGAACTCTCCGATAGGCCTTGCGACGACACCGGGAAACTCTGTGTCCTGGTGAAGAGCCAAGCAAACATGATGCAGGCTACGTAAAAAAGAACCATGGCTCCATTCTCATACAGACTCAGTGATCAGTAATACAATCGAATTTGTCCAAAACAGCAACTGATCGCCGAGGAGAAAAGTAGTTCACCTTACACAGGTGGATGTAAGCGAAAGTCACCCCCCCCCCCCAAAAAAAAACAACAACAAAAAAACACCAAAAAAAATTTATTTTTTTAAAAAATGAGGGGCAAGTTAAACTGGTTGTATGTACAGGTGATTCTTTTGGACAGGTGGTCGTTAGAGCAGGTTCGACTGTACTAACAGATGAATCGGGAATAGCAGTAGATCTAATAGTAACCATTAATGTTCAGGTTTTAGTTGTTAAATTTACAAAGGTCAGATGACCAAGAGACAAATTAATTAAGAGATAGAGTAAATTGTTAGCAGCACTGTCGAAAATATACAAATACGATGAAGAGGTCACAGTTAAGTCTCTAGTTTTACCCCCTATTAATACTTGTTACAACTCTAGACACATGACTTAGTTTTAGTAGAGGTTTTACGGCGCCCGCAGCTGCATAAGGTCATATGAGCGCCAGAAGATTAGAAGTGTTACAAGAGAATAACAAACACAAAAAAGAAGAAGGGAAGATCAGGACGATAGATGTTTGATAGGAAAGAAGAAGCAAACCACACCAGAGAACCCGCCAACCGCCCACTGAGACACATGACTAAAGACACCTAAGACAACCCCTTCTATCAGTGACACAAGGTAAAAGACACCTTCCTTTGGCATTGACACAGGATTAAAAACAAGACAACCCCTCTCTAGCAGATGCTGGGCAAAAGACACCTAAAAACAACCCCTAAGGGGAGACACAGGTGTCAAGGGAAACATTCCCACCAGTAATGAGCCTTGCAAAACAAAAACAATATAATTCAATCTTAAAAAGGATAGGAAAGAAAATATAATGAGAACTACAAAATGCAGTTGAACCTGCTCTTACAACCACCTGTCCAAGACAAAAACTTGTACTGGCCACCACTTTCACCTTGGTGATTTTTTCCTACATTATAATCACATCGTCAAAGAGGACCACCTATTTAAGACGACCACTTTTCTACCCTCAACAACTGGAGGTCGGCTTGGACAGGTTTGACTGTATATGACACTATGGCCTGTTGTGAAGGTACACTGCGGATCTGTCTGTGTATTCAATAAAGAGACATCACAGGAATATCTACCATGTGGGGCAATAGACCACAACACAGACATAATATAATTATATATATAGTCCACTTAAACCGAAATCTGCCGGACTGCCGGATTTTCTTTGGTTTATAGAGGGCCATGATTTGATGACAATGTAAAGTTGGGAATGCCATGCTCAGGGCAAATTTCACTTAGTAACATTTTTCATCTACTTCTTTCAGTAACTGCAAATTGAGCTGCAAGCAGTACTCATTGTACTTCCTTTGACATTTTCAATATGATGTGCTGAACAGTCACACAGAACAGACGAAAGAGTAGATCAGCACATCGTACTGCTATCTAATAATGTTATGTCATCTGCTTTCATCTTCACTTTCTCTCCCCCTCCCTCCCCACTCCTTTTTTCCCTCCTCTGGACTCTTGACCCCTCCCCCCTGCAACTCCTGGCACGTCACTGCTGTTTTTCAGCTACACTCCTGATCTTAGGGTAGGTATGATCAAACACCTAGTCTTCTCGGACAAGGGCGAAAAAATCTCGGAAGTCCTGTACGCAAGTTGCATTCATTAAAGATCAGCCCACCACCAAGGCAAAATTCAAAATTCCTACCAAACGGAAAATGCTTAATGTGTCTTGCGTGCTGATATGACATTATGCAGCTGCGAGTGCCATCAAATACCAAATAAAGATACAGATGGTAAAGAAGAACTTAACATAACTATCATGTATGAGTCAGTATCAATACAATATGGAAACAAAATAGAGGAACGTACCATAGCAATGTATCTGTGAGTCTGCACCACTCGGCTGATATTTCTCAACTCTTCCTCCATGTTGGAGGCCCACACGTCGCGGATACCATGATCCTCCACAACGGCTGGCATGTTGGTGCTTGTATCAGCAGCTGGCTCAGGAGGTGCTGCGTCCTCTGGCGGAGCTGGCCGCTTTTCTGGCAAGGTAATGGCCAATGGCCGTGGGATCTGAGGGCCGGGGTTGCGAAGGTACAAAGGTACTCGCACACTTTGAGTCCGTTGCTGTTGAGCCTGTTGCTGTGCCAGCAAATGTAGAGCTCTGGGCTGTAATAGCTGTTGCTGCCCTCGGGGCTGCTGCAATTGCTGTTGAGGCTGTTGGGGCTGAACCTGGGGCTGCGATAGCTGCTGTTGCTGCTGCAGGTGTTGTCGTGGAAGTAACTGGAGCTGAACCTGCTGCTGTTGAGGTGGGAGTGGCGGTTGCTGCTGCTGTGGCTGTAGACGCTGCTGATGGATAGCCAGAGACTGCTGTTGTTGCACTTGTCGAAATGGTGCTGCTGTGGGGAATCTGGGAGAAGCAGGGAATTGCTGATGATACTGAGAAAACTGGGGAAAACCTGGGTGCTGAGCAGGGCGTATGTGCTGGGGAAGTTGCACAGGCCTTTGTGGGAGCTGTACAGCTTGCGGCGGTTGTTGTACGGGCTGCTGCGCAAGTCGTACGGGCTGTTGTACAGCTTGATGGTGTGGCACAGTTTGCTGCTGTTGATACCCTGCAACAAAAAAGTAAACATTTACATTTCCCAAACCTGAAAAGGACAGTAGTCGCTGTTACAAGTCTCTAGACTTACCAGAACCAATTATTTCTCCAGAGAAAGACCTTCTGTCATGGGAGGGCCTGAAAAACTACATGAACTTATTTGATTTGTTTCAAAATGTTGGCAAAAATATACATAATGAAACATTTAAACGAATAAACAGATTTTTTTCTTATTTAATATCAAATGCCAAAAAGGAAAAGTTACAGTTAGAGCTTCGTTCTGTAAATGCTGGTCTATATTGCACGGATCAGCCTAGAAATTCAACCAACATTCAGCCACCTAGACAAAACATGAACAATGCAGGCTGCCACATATATATATAAAATTTGATAATGGTTCTCAACATTATGTTCAATCAAGGACAAAGTGATCTACCAATTGATGCAAAAGGGTAGTGAATTGCCCCCCCCCCCCCCTGGATAATTTCTAAATGAAGTGAAAAAAAAAGATTTAACAAAACTAAGAGAAGATAGCGTTTGAAATTGCAAGTGGCTATTCTCCGGCGTCGCGCCGGTCAATAGATAAGAAGCTATTCTCCGGTGTCGCGCCGCCGGTCTATTACTAATTTGTCGGCGCAGATTTGCAAATACCTCTCTCATCTGTTTGTTTTGGAAAGAAATTCCCACAACTTTACCACTTCCATTGATACAGACGATAGGTTTTCAGACACAAACTGCCCCAATTCCTCCAATTTAGAATTATGTTGGGTGCTAGAATAAATGTGACGCGAGTTCATAACAAAGAGTGAGCAAAAGAAGGAGAGTCACATTTTCACTGTTTACAAAAATGGAGATACGACAAGAAAGCACTGAAGTCGCGACATATTAGTCAAATTGATCTAAAATTACAACAAGAAATAAATTAAACAGCAAGCTATACTATATATGACTAGACAGGATTTTAGACACAAAATCAATTTTGTCCGTTTAAATAAACAATCATTATTTCAAAATAAGCAAATGGACGATGAAATAAATGAATAAAGTTATGTTAGACAATTACCATAGATAAAATACAATGAAAGGTAGACTTACTAGGCCTAGTTATGACGCCGGAGAATAGCTTCCGATCTATTGATCGGCGCGACGCCGGAGAATAGCCACTTGTTTTGAAATTTGATGAAACTATCAAATATGGCGGATGTTTGCTTGGTTACCGTGTGCTTATTATAATAAATAATTACTTGAATTTATTCTTTTATGTATGACTAATAATGAGTAATATGAATATATCATCGTTGCTATATATAGCCAAGGAATATGGATTTTAGAAATTTCACCAGCAGATGGCCTTTAAGTTGAAGACACAACATTTTTGTTCACTAAAGACGAAAGTAGCAGTAATAGCATTTTCAAATGTATAATAGAGGTCAAGTCACACAAAAATACACCCAAAACCCAACACAGATAGCTTACCTTGGGCTCGAACCACTGGCATATTTCCATACATGTAATTATATGACGTACTTGACGAAGAATAATAATAAGCCATTTTAAAATTCTCCTGTTCCACACAATAAGGACTTCAAACGTTTAAAAATATCTATGGGAAAGCTAAAATACAGGTAGTTCTTTGCATTTCAACTATGAGGTTACTATCTTAGTTATGAAGGCATCAACAACACAATTTTTGAGCTGGATATATCTTCAATGTTAAACATCACCCATGGAACATGAGAATAGAAATGAAAAGTTAAAATTTCATTCAGTCTGATCCATGAGTTGATCCCTAAAAGGCTGAGAAGCAAGGGTCAGCCCCCTCAAATAGTTTCTGTTCTGTGAACTGAATTTCACTCACTTTTCTGATGTTTCCCTGTGAACTTATCTCAACCCCTCAAATTGACCCCTGACCCTGGTCCACCCAAAAAAATTTTTTTTTTTAATTGCTCTGTCAACACAAGAAACCTTGAAACAGAGCTTTAAGAGAGCAAAAGGAGACTTTACTTTCTTTCCTGTCTTACTTAGTCCCCCCCCCAAAAAAACAAAAAAAACAACAACAACAAAAAACAAACAACAAACACACAGATAATCCCATAGTAATAAACTCTCTCTGTACTCATGAAGACAAAATATAATGAGAAAAAGCCTCTTTATAGAAAGAACAACCCCCTACCCCACTCACCCCCAAAAAACACACCAAACAAACAACAAAAAACCATAATCACCCCCCCCCCCCAACCAACAAATAAATAATTTTAAAAAAAATTTATGCCACTTGATTGCTATTTTTCATGACTTTGACATGTGAAAGGTATCAGGATACTTGGCCTTTATCATGCAAAAGAAAGGTAAAAGAAATGAAAAGATTTGCATTGGTTTCTATGAAGATGTTTCTTTTACTTTTGTCAGGAGTTGTGTTTTCTGTTACAAGGTGAAGAATTTACAGGTACCCACAATTCATTGTAAATAAAAATGATGATTAAATTTACTTTAAAAGCAAGCCATGAGGAACAATGTATGTAAAGAACCTGACATGACAAAATCAGGACTACCCATACACCAGGCACATTATGTTTTCGTGATTGACAAATAAAAAAAAAATTAGCAATCTGGAGTAAAAATTCACAATATGGCCATGAATAGTAGTCTTTTCCTCTGGGGTGTCAAGACAGAGGTTGTAGGTTCATGGATGATCGTAACTTAATGTAAACAAACGCGAATTGAAAAAGACAGGCTGGTCCTAGTTGAGTCGGGGGGAGGGTGTACGTTTGTTGTAGACTGTCGGTTTGACTCTTGAAAAAACACAAGACACAGATGGAACAGAAGCATCACAAAAGTAATTGAGCATCACCACACACCATGTGTTGCACTGCAGCTAATTGTCTCAAACAATGACTCGTTTAAAAAAAATATTCTTATATTGGCTCAGGCCACCACCCACAATGCAAAGCTCAGAAATGTTTTATCCCCTTGTCCAATCAACGTTTGCCTTGTACTTTGTACTCATGGTATTGGGGACAACCAATGTTTCGCTTAGGGCACAGTGGCATTGAGCAACTACAGGGGCTGTGAGCACAAAGTGTTGGCATACAGACCTGCCTAGTTGAGACTTTAAAAATTGGTAATGAAAAGGCAAACAATTAGTAACTTGACTTAAAAATTAACAATAGTATAATTCTCCTTCTATGAAGTAGGGGCCTACTAAAACAAAATAAAGAACGTGGAATCAATAACATCTTCACAAAAGACAGAGTGACGTTCCCTCGCGGGGAAAATGGAAGGAATCCTGAACTCAAAGTGTGATAAAAAGGTGCAGTGCGGGAAAAAAACCCAACTGCTATTGTTGTGTTCGAAATATAGAATCAAGACGTACTGTGGAAACTTCACACCCGATACATCATACCACAAGTCGTATAAAGAACAAACGATACTAAACAGTAATCGGTCAATTGGAAACCCGCGTATAACTAATACTCACGATAGTCTAAGAATTATTTCCGCGCCATAAGTCGTAGATTTAATTATTCATAAAATTGACCCGATTTCCGTAATGTTCATAGTATATTCGTATTTTCACAATGGGGTCAAATTTCAGGCATACTATCATAATATTGCGAAAAATTAGTCGTAAATACAGGCAGGTCTGACATATATGATGTAGTCAGTGAATGTCCAGGTATAATTATTCCTTCCCTACACATCGTGTGGGGTTGGGGAAGGGAGATTAGAGAAGATTGGTTGGGATATCTAAACAGCAGTAGCAATTCTTAAAAATTGAAATCAAAGATGTAAAGGCAGTATTATCTGAAAACTGATTTGTTAAAATCATGATGATTCCGCAATTACATAACGAACATTTTTTTCAAATTTTTCATTCAAAAAATTACCCCAAAAAAAGAACTAATATTTAAAAATTACTAATTTTCAAAATTTTTGCATGTCTATTACGCAACTATAAGCCACCCTGAAACATTAAAACTGAAACTTTCTGAAATCACAAAAGATTTCACCTACAGGGTCTGTCATAGCTGCCACTCAGGAATTTCAAAAAAGGAGTAAATTCATGCGAAGGTGTATGCGCACTCTCCGAAGACCGGAGTAAAATCAGTGAGATCCAGAGGCAAATATTGGAACATCTAGCCTATGTTTTTGGAAGGGAAAACTGTCATACTTGTTACAAAGTGGCTATTCGGAATCGACCCTGAACAGCCGCTGGAGGCTATTCTGAATCAAATTCCTGTGCGCGTGCCCAGTCATCGGTTGTACCGTAAATGAGGCCTATACTCGAGTTCGAATAGTCTCCTATTGCTATTCGGACTACTGGTAGGCTATTACACTGCGTTTCATGACTACAAATGGATCAAAACATAAAATTCATAATCAGTCCTCCTTGTAAGCGACCCCCCCCCCCCCCCAATTTCGCTCTCCATCTTACTTACCCAGGCCCGCCCTACAACCTTCAACCCCCTTTTTTTTGGCATATAGATCTATATTCCCTCCCATACCGTTGCCCACTGCCCGGCCCTACTATTATATTATCCTTTGTAAAGAAAAGACAACAGTTCGCACTGGGTCACCACGGTCGGCCCCCTCGCACTGGGTCACCACGGTCAGCCCCCATTTGTTGTAAGTTCCTTGGCCAGATCGTAGAAACCGAGGAAGGCCAAGGTCGAATTCCTTGTCTGCTTTACACCCGATCATAGCACACCTCGTGATTGTACACGCACATTGGAGTTTGAGTCTATTCGGACTCGAATTCAGACTCGAGAGTCCGAATAGCCTCCCGTGGCTATTGGCTACCGAATTAAACTGTATTTGAAGCATTTGACACAGTTTAGTGACTAAAAATTCAGTGTTTGTTGCCAGCTGATATCTCATAAAAAGATTTCTTATACTTTAAACTTGTGCATCGATGTAGAGCAGTATTGGATCAAGGAGGCAACACCTTTGCCATTGCACTGAGCGATTTCTTTATCTCACCAAACGCAAAGTGCAGCAAGCGGCTCATTCAAT